GTGCCCCAGGCCGAGCTATTAAACCGTCGCTCAGCCCCAGCCCCAACCCAAATCAGCTGGCAGGGCCAGCCGCTGCTGTCTGATTGCAGCATAGATGTTCCCTAAGAGCCCATCTCCTGCTTCATGTCGATAGGATGCATTCAGGAAATGCTGTGGCCCATGGGGCAGCAGCATCTGGGCTCCAGCCCTGGAGCTGTGACACAGGCAGTTTCATATCACTTGCAGAATGGGACAGGTCAGTGCCCTTACACATCAGCTACACTTGGGTTCTGTAATCTGTACAGGGGGCAGGCCTCAAAAATCACAAGAATGGCTTCAAAATCATGAGAATTTTTTTTTATATAACACTTTTGGGGGTCTTTTAATTTACTTTTGGTTTCAGAGCCTAGTGCTCAGGAGCGCTGCCCAGTTTTTTTGCCGCCCTAGGCGGCTGAAGGTCCGGCCACCGAAATGCCGCCCCCGACAGAGACGGCAGAAGGTCCCGCCCCTGAAATACCAGGGCAGCCGAAGATCCAGCCGAAGATCCGGCCGCCGCGGTCACCGCCCCCCAAATGTTAGTGCCGGTCGCCTAATGGGTTGCGCCAGCCCTGCTGGTGCTGACAGCCAAGGTGCACTTGCATCATGTCTTTAAGCTTTTTCTTCTGCAACCATGAGACCTAGATACTTACTTTTTAAGAACAGCAGCTGCTGAGCTGTCTCTAGGAGTTGAGGCTTTAAGTGAAACATATTCAAATATCATGAGACAAAACCATGAGAGTTGGCACTTCCTGTAGTCTTTACACATTTGTCCTTTGCTTCCTGAAACATTGAGGGGCTTCCTTGCTGTACATCTTTTCCAGGTGAAGGTAGTACAGCACTTGCTGGGGGTTGCCTCTGCCCCTGGAATTAATTTATAACCCAAGCCACAAAGAGGCAGTGGAGAACATGGTATGTCTGGAGAAGAACATTGCTGCAGCCATCACTGATGTGCAGCCACCTCTGTAAAGGAAGAATACAGTCCCTTGAAAGGCCATACCACAGTGATTTGGTAGTTAATATATAAGACTATGAGACAGGAGGTTTTGATTCTATTCCTAGTCCTTCCTAGGCAGGACAGTCCCATTTCTCTGTGTCTCACGCCTGGTCTACACTATAAAGTTAGGTCAATGTCATCATCGGCAATCCCTCGATTCAAGGATGATCTCTACCACAGGTTTACATATGGGTCCTGAGATGACTCAGGAGTCCGATCCTGGAACCACAGATCTGCCCGCAGTAGGTAGAAACATTTCCTGGTAGGTCAGCTGCCTGCTCGGAGAAATTTCTTTCTTTTTCCCTCTTGCTGTCTCTCATTTCTGCTTCGAGGGACAGGCACTTCTCAAAGTGAGCTTCTGCCTGATGGAGATGTCGCACCATTGAGGTCAGTTGGTGGCTTGCTCTTCCCAGCTTGTGGTGTCAACATCAGTTGTCTTGAGATACGCTTTCAGTGTGTCTTTGTAGCGTTTCCTCTGACCACCACGGGATCTCTGACCATGGTCAGAGCTGAGAGTAGAGGACTTGTTTTGGAAGGAGAGTCTGGCATCCGCACACAATGTCCAGCCCAGCTGAGTTGGTGCATGAGAATGATTGCTTCAATGCTGGTGACACTGGCTTCAGTGTCCTGAATGCTGGCATTAGTGCAGCGATCTTTCCACTTGATGCGAAGAATCTTCCAGAGGCAGGTCACCCAGGTTTCGCATCCATAAAGGAGTGTAGGAATAACAGTTGCCTTCTAGACCTGCATCTTGGTGTCCTGCCATAGGTCACGGTCCGTGAAAATGTGTCAGAGCAATTTCCCAAAGGATGCACTTGCACACTGGGTCCTGTGCTGGATCTGTCTATTTTTGCATTTTGAGAAAGTTGGCTACCAAGATAACAGAAGTGCTCGCTCAGCTGTCTCCAAAGTCTGTCCCTTGATGATGATTTGTGGTGAGTCATGTGCAGGGCCTAAAGCAGGCTGATGGAGCACTTTAGTCTTCTCAATATTGGGAAGACCTAGGTCAGTGTAAGCTGCCTTGAGTTGACCTAGTTGTGCATGTGTTTACACTTAAATTTGTCTCCCACTGATGTAAGTGCCCCATTATGCTGACATAATAACACCAGCTCCCTGAGCAGCATTGAGTCATGATTGATGTACGGAGGAGGTTGGTTGACATAGCACAAGCATAGACACTGCATTTACCTGTGTTTATCCTAACAGTCCTCCAGCAGCTGTCCCACACTACCTGACACTGACTGCTTTATTACAGTTGTTAACTCCACAGCCCATGGGTCATGTAGACTGGAAGCCCCCTCCTTTAAAAACCCTTCAAATTTTTTTAATGCCTTTTCTTGGTTGTTCAGCTTGGTGAGCACACCTATCTGCTCTCAGTTGTTGTGCACAACTGCCCAGCTGACTGTGGGGACTACACACTCCAGATATGCTCCTGCCTGAAAGTAGACAGGAGATATTGGATCATCTGGGATTGGGGTGAGAAAAGCCACAGCTCTGAACCAGCCATGGAAACCTTGACATCTATGGGCAGACTGCTCAATGGATGCAGGAGAACGGGTGCAAGAGAGACCAGGAGCAGTGCCATGTGTAAGCCAAGGAACTGTGGCATGCAAACCAGAAGGACAACAACTGATCTGGTGTCAAGCTGCAGAGCTGCTGCTTTTGCAAAGAGCTGCATGCCATACTTGGGAGAGATCCCACCACGATCCCACACACCACTGTGGGTACCTCTGAGGAACCCGGGTCATGTCCCTGCTGTAACAGTGAGGAGGAGGAAGTGGAGGAGGATTATGGGGGATAAGGGGTCAGGCTGTGCAGCAAATCAAGACCTGTTTTTAACTCCACCACAGTCCAGCCCATCCCAGCAGTCAAGCATGGGCAAGGCCAATGCAGGGGAAGGAAGTCAGGTAAGTGTATAAATAAATTTCCCATTACAGTGATGGCACTCTCAATTTAGAAGGACACAGCTACTGACTTTTCATTAATTTACTCTTACTAGAAGTGGTACAACAAAGATCAGTAGAGTTTCTCTGTGCTTTTCATTCCCCTTCAGAGATAGATTGGGGGGGCAATGGCATGTGGAGTAGTTTATTTCTGTGCATAGGGATGTCCCTTGAATCCTCCTGAGAGATCTCAATGAAACTTCGATGAAGGTACACTGCAATCCTCTCCTGAAGATTTCTAGGAATGGCAACCTTATTTCTTTCTCCATGGTAGGACACTTTCCCACACCTGTCGGTGATAACTTTGGCAGGCACCAATGCCATAAAGAGGCTAAGAGCATATAGGCCTGGGCAACTTTGGGACACCAGCAGCAGTTGTGCTCTCTCTGCCTTTATTACCCTCACGGATGAGATATCAGCTAAAACCACCACCACTTGTGGAAAATGGTTCCAATCTTCAGTGCCAGTGCCTTATATTCATAGTTTTATGGCAACTGAGCAATTCCCTTCTTGTTTCCCCCACCATAGAGGGTCATACTCACCCTGCTTGAGCTGAGAGTTGCACCGAGCACAAGCACTCCAAAGCAGAAGTGTCAATAAGCATGTCTTGTTTAACACTTTAGGGGAGCAAGGAAAGGGAG